CCACACTGTTATAACTTCTGGTTTTTATAATTTGTTATTGTCATATGTAGTCAGTTCATTTCCCTGCTTCAAACTGAATCAGCAAACTGAAATCTGTAGTCATCTACGAGTGCTTCAGGTTATCTTTTCCTCATGTTTTAGAGAACCCATAGTGGCTTCTTTCTCTTTCCTGGTGTTATTTTTCTTCTTCCCTTTTTATCAGTAACTCTGGCTAGTCCGACTTTGCTTTTTATATCCGTGTCTTGATAACACACCTCAATTATTTTTTTTTTTTTTTGCGTCTGTGGGCCTCTCACTGTTGTGGCCTCTCCCGTTGCCGAGCATAGGCTCCGGACGCGCAGGCTCAGCGGCCATGGCTCATGGGCCCAGCCGCTCCACGGCATGTGGGATCCTCCCAGACCGGGGCACGAACCCGTATCCCCTGCATCGGCAGGCGGACTCTCAACCACTGCGCCACCAGGGAAGCCCCCGACTTTGCTTTTTATATCCGTGTCTTGATAACACACCTCAATTATTTTTTTTTTTTTTTGCGTCTGTGGGCCTCTCACTGTTGTGGCCTCTCCCGTTGCCGAGCATAGGCTCCGGACGCGCAGGCTCAGCGGCCATGGCTCATGGGCCCAGCCGCTCCACGGCATGTGGGATCCTCCCAGACCGGGGCACGAACCCGTATCCCCTGCATCGGCAGGCGGACTCTCAACCACTGCACCACCAGGGAAGCCCGGCTTTTTTTTTTTGAAGACTAACTTTTTACAGCAGTTTAGCTTCACCACAAAACTGAGGGAGACGGTACAGAGATTTCCCACGTGCTTGTCTCTATACCCGTTGTCAGCGTCCCCCACCAGAGTGGTATGTTTGTTACAACTGGTGAGCTTATATTCAGTTAGCTTTTAATGTTAGAACCTCAATCACGTGAGACCATCTTATGAAACCATTGAGTGCCTCTAAACATTTGAATTTTATCGAGCTTTTACTTTTCCAAGTCTTTTCCTCTGTATTGCTTCATTTGAGTAAAGCTGACAACAATTCCGTTCCCTCAGATAGGCATTATGCCACTTAAACAGAGGAGGAAGCTTAGTGAATACACCCACGACATCCTTTTTTCACTTCATTAACCCTGTACCACCCCAACTCTTCTACCTTAAACCATATTGACTCATTTTTCATTTCTCGGGTTATTTCTGCTACCTAGATTTCTGCCATTTTTATGTTGCTTTCACCTCTTAAAAAAAATCCATTTTTAGTCATCTTTCAAAATTTTTAATTTCCCTTAGTAAAAAGTTTGAGCCATGGATATGAGGTATCTTACCCAGATCTTTCCATTTATTCATGCATTTGTATAAAAAAAAGAAAATAACTTCCTTTTTTCTCTTGTCAGGATGAAAAAGAGTTTGTCTCATTATTTCTTTTTTACCCATTTTAATGTCTCTGTATTTCACTTTCCAGATTCCTAATTTCTTACTGTATATTTGTGACTTATATAGTATTTATATTAATCATTCCTTTACTATTAATCTAGATCAATGTTCTACTAATTTTAAGTGGCATAAACTTGGAACTCAAGAGATATGGTCTGTTTAATTTGTCTAAAAAAGAGTATACACATATACATTCTTTTATTTATTTATTTAGTTTTAGCTGTGTTGGGTCTTTGTTGCTGTATGCGGGCTTTCTGTAGTTGTGGCAAGCGGGGGCTACTCTTCATTGCATTGCGCGGGCTTCTCACTGCAGTGGATTCTCTTGTTGTGGAGCACAGGCTCTAGGTGCGTGGGCTTCAGTAGTTGTGGCACTCAGGCTCAGTAGTTGTGGCTCACGGGCTCTAGAGCACAGGCTCAGTAGTTGTGGTGCACGGGCTGAGTTGCTCCACAGCACGTGGGATCTTCCGGACCAGAGATTGAACCCATGTCCCCTGCATTGGCAGGCAGATTCTCAACGACTGAGCCACTGGGGAAGTCCCACATATAAATTCTTAATAACATTTAATGAAGAGAATGACTATTAAATGACTATTAAGTTAAATGACTATTTCCTCTATCCCTATGAGCCTTGCACACATATATAGTTTGTGCTCACAATTCAGTACAGTTTTACTACTGAAAGGGGAATAAGTATATGAGAATGGGTTCTTCTTTTTTGTATGTATTAAGTAGTAAACAGAAATGCATGTGAAAAATGAAAACAGTATAGGTTTTTAAATATAAGGAATCATAGAATCAATTAAACTAGTTTTGTCCTTTATTCTTTTAATAAGGTATATTACTCTGATTCATTTTTATATGTTGCACCAACCTTGCATTCCTGGAATTCTGTTTTATACATCTTATATCTTCAAAGACAGATGTAATATTGGTAAATAGTTGACACTCAATAAGTATTTGTTTAATAAATGAGAAGATAAAAGAAATAATGGTAAGCAAAAATCACTACAGGTTTTAAGTTTGTGATTGAAAGCAACCAGTTATATATACCTGCTTATTTAAACCAGCTTAGGAAAAAACTATTCAATAAAGCAAAACTTATAGATTACATAAATAAATAGAATGGATAGTACTATATTTACATAAATGCTGTGAACATTCTTTAAATCAAAGCTGTTATGTGTATGATCAGGTTCTTAGTAAAATATTTCTGTGTAGCTGAATTATTTGATTTAGTGAATGAAATCAATCAGTGAATATGAATTAACATATGCTGAGTTGGAGCCCCAGACTGATAAACATTGGAGATACTCAGTATCTTAGAATGGGAAATCAAGCATAAAAACTTTATAGAAGTTTTACTTTTATAAAGGTTAGAAAAGGAAGTCAGTGCAGTCAGGATACAAAGCAGAGATTTTATCTAATTGTATATGGTGGTGTAAGCATCCAGGACTCCTCAAAAGAGCCTTATCAGTAGATGTACAGTTTCAGATGACATATCTGAGCGTCATACTCTCTGAAAGTTTATCTGTCATCTTTAGGCCCAGCCTTATATAAATGGGGCTATAGCAGACCAGAATAACAGCCTTGCCTATATATTGAGCTGGTCAAAATGTTTGTTCAGGTTTTTCTGTAACATACAGAAAAGTGAACGTTTTGGCCAACCCAGTATATGAAGGAGATTTTCCTAGCCTCAGCAACCAGAGAAGAAAAAGAAATGAAAGGAATCCAAATTGGAAGAAGGGAACTAAAATTGTCACTGTTTACAGATGACATGATACTATCCGTAGAAAATCCTAAAGATGCTACCAAAAAACTACTAGAGCTCATCAAAGAATTTGGTAAAGCTACAGGTTACAAAATTAATACACTGGAAAGGCTCTGAACCAGCTATAGAGATTATCTAATCCTAGAAAATTCCAATGATGGAGTTTCACAAGAATATCTTTTAAGCACTATGAAAGTTAAATGAATCTTAGGCCACTGTCTTCCATAGCTTTATGGTAAATCAGATTTTAAATTTCTACCATTTAATTTCATATTTAAAATTCTTACATGTCTCAGTACAGTTGACCCTTGAACAATAAGGGGGTCAATCTGCATATACTTACAGTCAGCCCTCCATATCTGAGGTTCCTCTGCATCCATGGATTCAACCAACCATGAACATGTAGTGCTGTAGTATTTACTGTTGAAAAATATCTGCATTAAGTGGACCCACACAGTTCAAACCTGTGTTGTTCAAGGGTCAACTGTAATTGTTAACAAAACATGTAAAAGAAATGATTGTTTGGGGTATGAAAATCAGAAGTATTTAAATATACTGGAAGAGAGAAGGCATTATTTCATATCTTTTTCTGAACATAACTTAGTTATGGTCCATCACAGAGGCTATAGGAATTTTGTGTGCCTTCGTAGCCAATATCTGAGAAGTGCAGTCAATAACTTTCTCAACTTTCTTCCTTACTCACAAAATTATTGCAGTTGATACTATGCAATGAGTTCTCTGTTTACGGGGTGTGGGTTTTGTTTATTTTTATATCTTTCCTAGTACATGGTAACAGACACGATATATATTATAAATTTATTTATTTATTTTTGGCTGCATTGGGTCTTTGTTGCTGTGTGGGCTTTCTCTAGTTGCGGTGAGCGGGGGCTACTCTTTGTTGCGGTGTGTAGGCTTCTCGTTGCAGTGGCTTCTCTTGTTGCAGAGCACAGGGCTCTAGGCACGTGGGCTTTAGTAGTTGTGACACATGGGCTCAGTAGTTATGGCTCACGGGCTCTAGAGCGCAGGCTCAGTAGTTGTGGCACATGGGCTTAGTTGCTCCGCAGCATGGGGGATCTTCCCGGACCAGGGATCAAACCTGTGTCCACTACATTGGCAGGCGGATTCTTAACCACTGCTCCACTGGTTAGGGAAGTCCCACACAATATATATTAGATGTTCAAACTGTCACTGGTATTTTTTAGTTGTTGTCTAAGGCCAACATGTTTACATTCTCTCATAGTTGTTAGAGGAGGATACAGAAACATAACTGGAAAAGCTGGAAACAAATAAGTGTGCTTTTAGTTTTTTCCCCTAATCTATCCATTTTTCTTTTTAATAGTTGTGATATTCAAGGAATTCAGATTTTACTTTTTACTGCAGTTTTGAAAATTCACACAAACTCTTCCTTGTTTTTTATGAGCTTTGAAATTGCTACTCTGCTGCTTTAATCTTACTTCCATACTGATTGATATATTTGATGCAGAGTTCTGAAATAAGCTTACCTACTTGGAAACTATTGAGATTTTTCTATAGGTATAGTCTAAAATTATTTTATGTGTCTATAAGTAGGATAGATTAAATGAACATAGCAGTGGAAATTTTACCTCTATTTAAAATAATAATGTCTCCAGTTTAAGTGGTAGATTCTAATATATGTGTAGCAGTTTCTTCATTACAGAGGAAGATTTCACTTCATATCAGCCTTCATGTTTTGCAAATATCTCTAAAGAAAATATGTAGAATAAGTGTAAGTTTAAACGTTTTGAAATATTTAATGTTCAGAATTTCTAACTTTGCTGTTTGTCCAACTCCCTCAGGCAGAAGGGGCAGCTGGCTGTGGAAAGAGCAAAGCAGGTGGAAGAGTTTCTACAGCGAAGACGGGAAGCGAGGCAGAACAAGGCTCGGGCTGAGGGGCATATGGTAGGATTTTGTTTTTGAGATTTTTGAACATGTTAGTATCCAAAGTGAAGGTCTGGAACAAGGTAGGTATAAACGCCAAGAGTCGTAACCCTTTACAAACGTTTCCTCTGAACATTTGCAGAGCATTTAACCTCTCTTCAGCTATTTCTTTTATGCCAAGCGTGAAATTCTGTTGTTCTTGGTTAATTGAGAATAAGTTCGTAGCTGCATCCTTCCTTTTAAAAGAGTTGAAGTAGGTATAGCAACCCAGATATTCATATTAAATAAATAAGTTCTTACATTACTTTTTTCTTCCAATATGCTTCTGGTTTTAAATACTTTTAAGTAGCAAAGAATTGTAGAAGAAAAATGGGAAATAAACATTTGGGTAAATATACATGTAACTGTGCATTTACCCAAAAGTAACTTAGGAACAAAAGTATTTTAAAGCCTCTAATTATTCCAGTTAACTGAATTAAGTCATGTACATAAGAAAATATTAATAGTTTTAGATCATCGTTTCAGTAGTTAATAGTTTTGACTTGCAGAGATACACAAGTGCCTTTTCACCTTTTGTCCACAGAACAAATGGTGATTGTTTGTCAGCTCAGCACCCGTGAAGCATCATGCTCACGTAGGAAATAGGTCAATTGTGTGGTAGTATGTTTTCTTTAGACTTAGATTTACTGTAAGTCCATAAGTGATACCTTTATGAGTTAATATAATTATTCCAATTTAGGATTTTTTTTTCTTTGAAATAATATCACAGAAAAATGGTTAAATTTTTTAATGGTTACCCTGTATATGTGTAACACCCATGAGCTTGCTTTTCTAATACCTGGAATTAATCTGTATTTGTATCCTCTCTATAGACAGAGGAGAACCTCCTTTGTTTTCCCTTGCCCTATTTCTCCCATGTTAGTAGCATCTGGAATTTTAGTTACAGATTTTAAAAACAGTTATTAGACTTACCAAGATTTACACATTTCTTTCCTCAGCACAGTTCCTTATATACTACTGTGCTCCCTCGGTTTATTTGTCTTCGTGATGGAGACTATCCTCTCGTAACCTTTTGGAGAGAAACTGTCAAAGATTTGTTGGGAAGGTCCTTATTTTGTCTTCACACTTAAATGTTAATTTGTAGCGGTGGTCTGCTGGTGAATTTGCTTAGCATTTATATGTCTGAAAAAGCATTTTGTCTTCTTTTTTGAAAAATATTTTTGCTGGATGTAGTCTTATAGGTTGAGACTTCTTTTTCTTTCATTTCTTTAAAGGTGTTTCTCCACTTACATCCTGGCACGCCGGTTCTGACCAGAGGTCTGCTGTCATTCTTAAACTTTCCTCTGCATGTAATGTGTCTTTTCTCTCTGACGGCTTTTAACATTTCCTCCTTATCACTGGAAGTGGATTGATTTAGATGTATCTTGGTGTAGTTTTCTTCATTTTTATTTTGTTGGGGGTTCATTGAGCTTCTTGGATCAGTGGATTTATTGTTTTTATCAAATTTGGAAAAATTCAGCCATTATTTCTTCAAACTTTTTTTCTGTTCTCCTCTCCTTTTTCCTCTGGGTGCTCAGTAGCCATACGTCAGCTTGCTGATGCTCTGTTCATTTCTTTTTGGTCCTTTTCCTGTGTTTGGTTTTGGGTAGCGTCTGTTACCGTATCTTCAAGTTCATTACTCTTTTTGTCTGCTTTGTGTAATCTGCTCTGCTCTTAATCCCATCCAGACACTGTATATTTTTCATTTCAGATACTGTATTTTTTAATCTCTTAAAATTTATTTGGGTCACTTTTATACTTTCCATGTCTGTCTTTATAATACTTACACTTTTCTCTACCTTCTTGAACATATGGAATATGATTAGAGCCGCCTTTTTAATGACCTTGTCACTAATTCCGTTATCTGTGTCATTCCTGAGTCTGTTTGTTGACTGATTTTCTCTTCATTTGGGTAATCTTTCCCTGCTTCTTTACCTACCTGGTAATTTGTGGTTGGATGCCTGGCATTGTGTATTTTATCTTGGATTTTTTGTATTTAAATACAAATTAATAAATTTATTCTGCGATGCAGTTATGTTACTTGAAAATAGTTTGAGTCTTTCAAGGTTGATTCTCAGCTTTGCTAGGCAGGTGGAGAACAGCCTTTCGTCTAGAAAGCACTTGGCGCCACCACTCAGGCAGTACTCTTTTTTTTTTTTTTTTTTTTTTTTTTTTTTTTTTTTTTTTTTTCTGCAGCATTTATTCTGGGGCCATAAGTTTTTGTTTCTTCACTTTCTTCTGGGATATCTTTTTCTTCTGGGCAACCTCCCCTTCTGCTTTAGGAACAATCTGGGTTTTTTCAGTAAGGATCATCTCAGTGTGGCAGGGAGAGCTCATGTATAGGTTGATCCAACCATGAGCTCTGTAAGTCTTGCACCGCATCTTGGTGGCTTTGTTCACCTGGATATGCTCAATGACCGGAGAATCTACATCTAAGCCCTTAAGTTCAGCATTTCTCTCTGCATTTTTGAGCATGTGCAGTAAAAATTCAGCACTCTTTTTGGGCCACCGGCCCTGCGTGCAGCCCCACTGTTCGGCCTGGGCACACCTACCAACTCCACCATTGTAACGACGGGATGGCACACATTGCTTCTTTAAAGTGACATCCTTCAGATAGTTGGTGACTTTTCGGATATGCATACCCTTAATGGCCTGGACAGTTTCATGAGTGTTCTTAAAGTGAACATGAAGATTTGAACCTCTCAACTTGCATGATTTTGTGGGGTTTTCTGGGCCAAGTGAATAGCGAACCATTTTTAGAGGTCACCTCAGGCTGCTTACCGGAAAAGCGAGGCAGTACTCTTGACGCTCTGATGATGGCTTGGTGGTACTCCAATGCTCTGTTGATTTGGAAGCCTTTCTAGTCTGGCTGTGGGAAGTGTGATGTGTTCCCAGCCCTCAGTGAGCCTGAGGGATTGGTGACGTCATGGTAACTGTCACTCAGCAGGAGACTCAGGGGAAACCTCTGCCGATTCCAGGACTCTCTGGGCAGCTCTCTCTTCCTTGGTGCCCCTTCCTGCAAATGGTGCTGTCCTTCAACCTCCCAAGCTCTGGTTGCTGTTTCCCTAACTCAGGACACCCTCTCCCTGTGCTGCAGCCTGGAGACTGGGCAGTTGCTGAGCTTACCTCACTTGTTACCCTCCTCACAAGGATCACTGGCTTGTGCTGCCTGTTTGCCAGTTTTGGAAAATCGTTGTTTCATCTGCTTTTGCTGCCTGTTTGCCAGTGTTAGAAAATCGTTGTTTCATCTACTTTGTCCAGACTTGTAGTTGCTGGAGGTGGGAGGGTAGATCTGGTCCCTGTTACTCCACCACAGCTGCAAGTGGAAGTCTTGGCTGGTAGTCTGCTGGGTGAAGAAATGTGGGTTGCAAGCTCTCCCCACCCCACCTTGAAGCTGCTGCCTCATCATGGTCTCATTGTCGCTCTCAGGTCTTGTGACAGTGTTTTCCTTCACGTTCCTCTGTAAGGGGTTTTTCCTCTCTGAAAGCTTTTGGCACTGTTTTTCTGCCTTCCGTGTTCTGAAATATCGCTTGAGTGTTCTCGGTATTTTTAATTGACCTGTCATGACTCTAACCAGATGCTCTCAGTCTGAGCACTCACCTTCAGTTCTGGGACATTCTTAACTGACGCTTCTCACATATTGCTGCTTCTCCTTTTTCTCCTTAAGAGAACTTCTGTTAAATGGATAGATTCGGACCTCTGCATCAAATGTCTTTTTTTGTGTACTTTTATTTCATCTTTTTTATCCCTTTGTCCCTTCTTACTGTTTTGGAAGGATTCCTGGGCCCGAATTTCAGCTCGTAACATGTTCTTTAGTTTTGTCTACTCTGCTCTTCAGCCCATCCAGTGATGTTTTCTCTTAAGTTTAGAAACTTGTATTCTCATGTCCATGAATCTTCTTAGTTTTCCTTGAAAGCTCTGTGATCATGTGCTCATTTCTCTAATGATACTTTGGTTATCATAAGGTCTTGTTCTTAGTGCATTCTTGGCTGTGTCACCTCGGTGTCTTCAGTTTTTTTTTCAGCAAGTCTGCTCCCTGTTTCATGGTACTGGCCTCCCTCATACATTTGGTGTTCTTGCTGGTGTGTTCATGTTTGGGGGTGTCTATTTTACCCTTCGTTGCCTCTGTTTGGGTGGCGCCCTGGCGAGATGGGCACATGTTGCTGACCTCTCCTCTGTTCAGTTTTTCATCAGAGTAGAGGATGGGTGGGACACGGTTGCTGTTCAGCCAGGCAAATACGTGGCAGCTTATTTTCTGGGCATTGGAGACCCCACCTTCCTGGGTGTCACCGGTCACCTGGAGCACAGGCCTGGCCTTTCAGTCCGGGCTCTCTCATCACTCGTGTCTGAAGGGAGCTGCTCGCGGAGATGGACAGTGCACTGGGTGACCTCTTCTTTAAGCGCCTTTGCTGCTGTTCCCCTCTTGCCCCGGCTGCCAGCTCATCGCAGAGCAGCTTCCTGTTGCTCACATCTGCTGCCGAGGCCTCTTCCCTACAGGCTGTGCTCATGACGCTTCTCATCTTAAACCCACGTGTGTACTTTCCTTACCTCTGGATTCCTTCTGTTCTTGGGACTACCAAGAGTTTCATTTGTTTGTGAGTGCTGATATGCATTCACTTAACAACTTCTCAAGTGCAGAATTTTGGAAGAAGGGGAGGCCATGGTCTCACTGTAATCAGATATTAGTATTTTCATTTTGTTGTTTTATCATTTTTGAAAGATGTGATTTAGAAATCAGTGCATTTTTGACAGTGATTTTTATTTGACTTTCCAAGATTTGTTTTGTTAACCTGTATAGAGTTTCTTCATTCCCTAGATGACTATATGTATACGTGAAACTTTACTTTAGAAAAATGTGGCTAAAAAGTGAAGAATTTTTACTTTTCAGTATATTTGGGTGGATGCATCGTATATTACTTTCTTTATTCACTAATATAACAACAAGGCAGTGTGTTAAACTCTTTGGGGTTAATAGGTTAATT